AGACCAATTACAAATATTTTGTATTTTTCCTCTGTACATAAAATCGTTTATTTAGATTTTATATTTGTGACGTTTTATATGATATTAGTGAGCATCAAAGGACTATTTTGCTATGCACATCTTTCATGCTTTTCATCCAAGGATCCCCACCCTAGTGCTTTACAAACCATCTGTACTTCATTAAATCTTACAACGGTTCTTTGAGGAAGGTAAGGGCTACATATGTATTACTTCACTCCCCGATGAGTTGTTGCCATCTCTTGGGTGGGACTTAGCAGCTGTTTAACAGTACAAAAAGATATGGGTTAACTTAAAACTATTTATAATCAGATGATATGACCAGGGGAATGTAGTTTAAAGTTGAAATTGACTAGGGTTAATATATGATTTGGGTTTAATAAGAAAGACTGCATTACCATTCCTTCAACATACAAATCAGCACTAAAGACAATCTTTTCTATTTTGTTCCTATGAAAGTGTAACCCTTTAGATGGCTCATAATATTAACTTTCTTCTACCTCCCACCATCCCTAAAAACAAAACAAAAAAAAACCTGTAGTCCCCCATTAGTAGATAGAAATATATCTGTCAACCAGAAATAAAATTTTCTGTCATTGCTCACATTTGTCTAGCATGTGATGCACAACATTAAAAAAAAATGTAATGCTATAGCAAAGATTGGGTTTGAAGGAGTGGAATTTTTATAGGGCAAACGTCACGGTAGTTGTTAAGGCCTAACAGCTTTAAGAGCTTTGTGAAGTATATAGTTTGTACAGTCGCAGTTTTTACATACTAAACAAAGGCAGGAAAAAATGTAAATATCAGTGAGTTTTCACGACTTGTTTTTAAGGTAATTTTTAAGTTGGTGGTTAAATAAACATCTGTCTTGCAAGACTAGCAAACTGGCACTTTTCCCATTCAGAACTGAGTACAATATTGCAAAGCACCACAGTAATTAAAGAATGAAGTAATTTGCATTATTTTTCTATAAAACTACTCTTGAGTAGCAGATGGTGAACACAAACGTGTTGCTCCAGAGACATATGAAAACCTATCTGTTCCATAAAAGCCTCAGTGACTCTCTTCGTTGCTGAACTAAGCTGATGTGGTAATCTTTAAAAAGGCCCTAATTAGGCTATATAGCCACTCAGGCCTCAGAAAATAAAATAAATGGAAAATGTTTCAGTGATTAGTTTTTCATTAGTAGTTTCCCCTAATCTGTGTTCATGCTAGTCTGAAATAATTAACCTATTCAGTTTTATTGCTTCAGTGCCAGATTAGGCTGTCCTCATTTATAATCTTAAATCTTGCAATAAATAGCCTAAGAGCCCATCTTAATAACACACACACAGCCCGCTACCATTGATGTAGAAAGAAAAAAACTAAGCAACCATATTCCAGAATTTCAGTTTGAACAATGCTGAGCATTACGAGTGTGAAAAAAATCTTGTATTGCTCCATTGGCTTGGCTCGGCTGATGATATCCTGATCTCCCTGAGGTGTTTGTCAGCTGAACAGACTGAGATTTCTGCTCCACTTGTTGACATGATATCCAGTTGTGGAGGTCATATAAAGTTAAATCCTAATATAGCAAACCAAAGGTTAGTTCCAAGTTCTTGTTGAAACAGACTTCCAACTTGTAGAGAATTTGAAACCAGATTTGTCATTGGATTTGTGTTCATAGTTTGTAACTAGTACATCTTGCTCCCATGTCAGGAATCTTACCATGCTTAAACCTTTATTTAACAAGAAAGGTTTGGAATTATGCTGATTGCATTTGTTTCTTCAAGACTTCTTATTAATGTATTTCATTGTTTGGGGCAGCTCCTAATTATATTTTGTCCAAATGCAGCGATCCATATTCTTGTAGGAGGCCAATTAATAGAATGCTTTGGCCCTGTTTTAAGACCCCTACGTTGGTTCCCCCATCAAATTATGGTTTAATTTCAAAGAGTGATTATGATGTTTGATGCATATGATGTATGTTGGCTATCTATGTATGACTGAACCCCATGCATCTCAAGTTCTTTACTTAGTTCAAAATCAGCAGGTAACATAGCTTGTCCTAATGTACATCTGTGAGAAAGGACCTTTAGCAACTATGGGCCAGGTCCTAGCCCTGTAATCTTGGTGCAGTTGGGACACTTGTCACACAGATTGGCCCTAGACTATCTGTTAGGGAGGGTTTTCCCCATCCTCTCCCCCACATTTCTGGAACCCGTCTTCTCCCAGCAAAGGACTTGAGAATCTGTATGCGATGAGGGGTCATGGTTGCACATCATCTCCACAACCTCCACCAGTACTATGGAAGGCCTACTCAGAGGTTAGTACAGATTAACTATTGAGCAGAATATCCTTTAAGAAGGGTACCAGGCACCACTGCTTTGTCAGCAGGGCCCCACTGGAGCCATAGTTACAGGAAAGTGAGGGAGAGCTCATAGGGGATTGGAAGGGAAACCGGGGTCTTTAAGGCCAGACTCTTCCCCTCCAGTTAAGGGGCAATCCTTAACTGAATAATTTGGAGCAAACTGTCCCAAAACCATTTCCTGTAGGATGTCCCGTGGGAGAGAACAATCTGTCCCAATGATTTACAATTGTACAACTCTCTCTTTCTGTTCATAGGGCTCACTTTGTTACAGCTTTTGAAACTAAATTAAAGCAGTAGTTCTTTCCTATTACTGTCAGTTGTTTTTATAGTTTTGTTTATTTTGATAGAACCCTGTGACATCCTGTGAAGGACACTGTAGAAGTGCATAATGATGCTGACTAACTCCAGAACATTACAGGTAGCAAATGAAAGAAGAAGATACTGACATATTAACAGTACTTAAAAGACTTTGGGGAAAAAATCTATGTTACAATTCTTATCTCATTTTACACAGATATATCACCATTTAAGGTGGCTAAATGAAACATTTACTGCCAAAATTAAATCAGCTTTCACCAGATCTCTTTTTGCACCGCAAAATTTTATGTGCATATAACTGAAGTATTATGTCCTTATTTATTTGTGGGTATAGCTTCTATCACTTGAACATCTAAATACCTGATTATGTCCACAAATTTAATTTAGATATTTAGATTTCCAAGTGGCAGAAATTGTGGATGCAAAATTGACTCTAGTACCTCACAGGATGAAGCCGTATGATCCCAGGTGGCAGCCAATTATCCAAGTGTCATTAAACCCTGAGTTCTTGTGTCTCCATGTACAAACCTCATATCCCTGGGAAGTGTAATCAGAGCACTTACATAAAAAGAACAAAGGTTAGTATGTTGACAAGTCATCATGCTTACCAGTAGTATCAGGGATATATAGGTATTGAAAGAACTGATAAACCCCATGTTCTTGGTGCGCATTTTTGATACTGTACATGTTGGTATCTCTATGGGATGCCTCAGCTCAGAAGTAAAACTTCTACTCTGCATTTCCTGGGTTTCTAATTTTTTTCTAAATTTTAATGTTTATGAAAGGTAATACACATCCAAAACACTGATATGTGCCTGAAACCTTTGCATCACCTTAAAAACAATTTTTGTGGAGGATTGTTATATACAGATAAAAACAAATATCTGGTGCAGTACTTTTTAAAGTTTATATACAGGCCGTTGGTGAAACATTGCTATACACAAATATATCCACAGCTATTTAATACAGTATTGTTGTGCAATGTAGGGTTTACAAGCAGCCAGTGTAATGTTTGTATGCATAGGAACTCTAGGTACATAGCAGATATTCAGGTGCTCAGATACCAGAGTGATGACTGTGTTATAAAAATAAAATTAGATAACGGATGCAGAATTGCTAGGAGAGTCTGTATGGATGTAATTTTTCATGCCCAAACCAAATACGCTTTATAAAAGGAAGCCATGGGTTTTATAAGTAAGTGTAGGTATCTAAATGTATTTACCCAAACCACAAAGTCTGCAGTTGGCTCACTTCTGCCACTGGATGCAAAGAAAGCCTTTCATATGATGAAATGGACACATCTGTTTGCAGTGCTCCATCACATGGTATTCAAAGATCCATTAGTTAAAAATAAGCTTGGTAGTAACTGAAAGTCACTACCACCTCACAGATGTTTTGTGTCAATGTGAAATGTATTGCTGATCCCTGTCCTGAGTCTAGTGCTAAGGGATCCATATTACCAGGAAAATCTAGTAGGGAGATTAAGGCTTGAATGGTCATGGAGACTGAACTCTCCATTTTTTAGGTAGTTCCACAGACACGTTTGCAGCACAGGACCACCACCACAATCTATGCTACTACACGTATTCTGAAAAGAGAAGGATAGCTTATGTCTTCATAGCTACCAAACCATGAACGTTCACCACGGCTAATGCAACTGACGTAAAATTATTCGATGTGTTAGAAACATTACACTCAAATGAAGGGCAGATTCGGTTGGAGCAGGGCAGAAACTCCCATGTTCACCATTTCTAACATTTCCCCTGATAGCAGTGGAGTGGCCCAGCAGTGACAGCCTCTGTGGGGGAAGGAGACAGAGAGTCTAGGTGTTTCAAACTGATCTTTAGGCAAGGTCCTTTGGTAACTAGGTAACATTCATTAGAACTAATTCAGTTAATGAGTTAGGCGATATTAAATTGCAGGGGGCTTTCCCCACCCCAGAGCCACTCAGTTCAGCACACCCAGGCTCCTTACATCACCGGGGCCTTGCCCCAACACCCTTGGCCGCAAGGCGCCTCATTGCAGCAGTGCCTACCCTCCTCCCCGTAAATTGAGCGAGTTTTCGCACTACACGGCCCTGTCCGCCCCAGAGCCGCTGCCCGAACAGCCCCAGGCCTCTTGCTCCAGCATAAGAGCCGCTGTCCCGCGTTCCGGAAATGAGTCTGGGGTGGCCTTTGCTCGGGAGACTACATAGCCCATCAGCCCCGTGCGCACTTCCGGCGCGTAGTGATGAGCCTCGGGGCGTTGCCGGGCGTGATTGGATGCCGGCTTTGGCGCGTCAGTGTTGTGGGCGGGGAGTGGCGGTGGAGTTTCCCCCTCCCTAGCTCCCGGTAAACCAGAGCCTTGGCTGAGCGAAGATGGCGAAGACCTACGACTATCTTTTCAAGCTGCTGTTGATCGGCGACTCGGGCGTGGGCAAGACCTGCCTGCTGTTCCGCTTCAGCGAGGACGCCTTCAACACCACCTTCATCTCCACCATCGGTGAGGGGCTGGGCGGGAAACGGAGCCACGGGCTGCCCCGGAACCCCCCCGATCACTTCCCGAGGAGCCGGGCCGGGGGAGCCGAGAGGGGAAAGGGGCACAGGCTGCCTAGGCACCCCCCGATCACCTATCGTGAGGGGCTGGGCTGGGGAGAGGAGCCCGAGCGAGGAGAGCTGGGACGGGGCTGCCACACTTCACCGTTGTCCTCTTCCTTCTGGTGAGGGGCTTCGCAGGGTGGCGGGCGAACCGGAGAGACGGGGAAGCGCGGTTGGCTGCCCCAATGCCGTCTGCCCCCGTTACCGCTGTGGGGGCTGGGCAGAGAGAGTCGAGTGGGAGGGGAAGCGGCCTGAGGTTTCCCTCTTGGCGCTGGTTCCGCGCGGGGACCGGCCGGTTCGTGCTGGCCCGGCCGTCGGCTATAGCTGTCCTGGAGCGAGCGAGTGCCCGTGAGGTGGGTCTCCGCCTTGCTCGGAGCCAGTCAAGTGCGGGGGAAGCCGGGTCCTTCTGCCCTCAGGGGGTCGGGGGAGATATGCCAGCCCGGGGCACATCCTCTGGCCCCGTGGAGCCTTCTGGTCGGGCCGTCCCCTCTCCACGGCATCCCGCAAGCCCGCCTGGCTGTGGCCGCGGGGCGCTCTGCCCGTCGGCGGGAGGCAAGAGGGAGTGAAACTTCTCCCCCTCCCTAGTCCCCTTTTCTTGGCTCCCAGCTGCTCAGCACCTTCTCGGCCGCCTCCTCGGAGCTGGCTGTAGGCTGCGGTTCGCATTATCTCTGGCGAAGTGCATTACCGCGAGCTGCCTTGCTCATCTCCGGCTGTGGCTTCGAGATCGCTATGTGCATTTCCCCCTTGTTTAGCAACTTGACAAGTCATTAGGGAGGTGCCCTTTGCTGAGCTCTCAGCCCAAACCTTATAGCAGTGACTGGCAGTCTGCTCAAAACATTGAACTTTGCTTGCTTCGTTGTTAAGTCAGGAAAATAAGACCTAGGAGCCCTTGTCATTGATCAGGACTCCATTGTGCTAGGTGCTGCACAAACACAGAACAAAAAGACCCCTTACCCCAAAGGAGTTAAATTCTCAGGACAAATTCTGGGCTCTCTAAATGGCGAGTACAGTGGAGACCATAATGGATAAATATAAACTATCATAGTTCAGTCTTGCAGGAAAACAAGTGGTTTGAGCATTGGCCTGCTGAACCCAGGGTTACGAGTTCAATCCTTGAGGGGGCAATTTAGGGAACTGGGGTAAAAATCTGTCTGGTCCTGCTTTGAGCAGGGGGTTGGACTAGATGACCTCCTGAGGTCCCTTCCAACCCGGATATTCTATGATTCTAAATAGCTACACCTTTTTTTCCTCAAAGCAGTTTCTCTGACACTTACAGTCCTAACTCTTTCTTCAATCAGATCATCCAGTTTTGAATGTAAAATGTTTTCATGTGACTTGAGAAATGGCCAACTGTTGACAGTTGTACAAACTCCCCGGACCATCTTGCTCTCCCAGTAATGGAAATCACTTTAATGGGTTAGGATGTTTTAGAAATGCTCTTTAAAATATTGACCCAAGACTGAACTTAAAACAAAATCCAGAACATGACACTAATGGATTTGGGGGAGGCCTTTTCTAGGCTGTTCAGGAGCTGTCCTCATAACTGTTTCCCTGTTGCTTGCTAAGTTCTTTGTGATGTGCATATTCAAGTTATCAGGAAATGGAAGAAGACTCAAACTGCTTAAACTGGGTATTGCTCAAGTTTTATTAAAAAAAAACAAAAAACTACTTGATTACAGGGAGTAAACAATGTTAGCAATTAGTAGTCATAGTTGAAGGTGAGTTGATTTTATTAGTTATGGGTAATATTAATAATTGTCTTAGACTTTAGTTCCATAAAAGTGGAGTACATATGAATGTGTATATTGAGTCCCTGAGATTTGGAGTGGCTTTTCTTGTGATTAAAGTTACTGTTTTTTATGTAATAAGACTTCTCAAGGCAGTATCTTCTTTTTTTTTATTTTAAAGCACAGATACTTTTGCAACAGTAGTGTCCTAAAAACTACTGAGCTCTATGCATGACTTAATTATCTAATACAACAGACTATTATGTTAAACATTTTCACATTGACTGTCAGTTTTAAACTGAGCAGAGAGAATTTTTATAAGACCTTTACTGTATTAGATGTAAATGTGTTGTTACTGAAATATTAGGCTTATGTCCCAATCCTCCAAACGCTTAAATTCATGCTTTATTAAGTAGTCTGTTGATGCTACTTGCATGATGAAAGCAAAGATGTGCATAATATCTTTACAACTGAAGACTAAATCTTTATGCACATTGCTAGTGCTTGGCACGATGAAATCCATGCTCATCTGAAAGATTAAAACTTCTTATTTTATGGAGACAAGTAAAGGTGATCTGGAGTGGAGAAACAAGGTTTGTGCTCCTTGTGTTTTGTGAGTAAAGAAGACCTGAAATGTTTTCTACTCTAATGATTCATGTTTTGTTATCCTGTAGACTTGATGTACTGCTGGTGTTATGAGATGCTGGCTATGGAGGAAGTGAATTCTGACTAAGATAGGAAGTAGCCTGAATTATATTTTTGAGTTAGGACTAATTAACTACCATTTGGGAGAAAAGATGTCTCTTTTAAAGATTAAAACTCTACCCTTTCAGTTAAGGACTGAGAGCAGATAGTCCACATCAGAGTCCCAAGAATTCTCCATGGAAGACTAGACTTGACACTATGACATGTCTAGGCTTTTTTTAAATAAAGGGGGAGGGAGGTTAAAACAAAGCACAAAGGTTAGATATTTTTTAAATTCTTTGTGAGGAAGGGAAAAAATTCCTTGTTTCTTCTGCAGCCATCTTCAGAATGTAATCTCAACAATTCTGTTTACCAATAACAGTTTGATTACTGGCTTTTCTGAAGGTTTTTTCATTGTGTATTCAGTTGAATAAGAAGTTTTGGTCATAGAAATGTTATTAACAAGCAGCATACCCACCTCCAAAAAAACCCATGCACAGGTTAGACACTGAACATATTTCTGTGTTTATAGTTACAGAAAGAACTGGATAAAGTAAATTGAGCTGCATTCAGATTCTCTCTCTCTCTCTCTCTCTCTCTCACACACACACACACACACACACACACACACACACACACACACACACACACACACACACACACACACACACACACACACACACACACACAACACCTTTCCTGGTTATACTTCATGACCTTCTGCTTAGTTCCTTAAAACTCAAGTGCAATTTCATTGGTCTGCTTTGGATTTTAAAGATACTTTGTATATATGACGCTACTTTTCTCTATATTGCCTACCTCAGCTTAATGTGTTACTTTTTTGTTTTCACTCTTCCTTCCCTCCCTGTTTTTTATTTTGTGTTTTAAAAGGATACTAACTTTAAGTCTCATCAATTTGACAAAGTTACTGGTAGTTTTAAGATCTGCCCCTACTCCCCAATTGATTGGGCTTTTACAATCACATTTTCCAATATTTTGTAATTGTGTTTCCTCCCCTGTTGGTTTATGGAAGACCTCACAGAGGGAAACTGAGTTACTCTAGGGGAAACTGACTGTATGCAAAGTGCTGACAAATGCCCAAACAGAGAGACTGCACAAAATGGAGTATTTTCTATTCTCAGTTGTAGGTCAGTGTTCTAACATGTGGGTGTATGCTGTGTGGTTTTTGCTTGTTTGTTTGTTTAGGACAGTGGTGGGCAACCTGCAGGCCACATGCAGTCCGTCAGGGTAAGCCGCTGGCGGGCTGCCAGACTGTTTGTTTATGTTTGTACAGTTGCCCATAGCTCCCAATGGCTGCGGTTCGCCATTCTCAGCCAATGGGAGCTGCGGGGAAGCAGCGTGGGCCTGGCCACCGCTTCCCGCAGTTCTCATTGGCCAGGAATGGCGAGCCATGGCCATTGGGAGCTATGGGCAACTGTGCAAATGTAAACAAGCCAGCAGCTTACCATGATGGGTCGTAGGTTGCCCACCTCTGGTTGAGAACAATGTCCAGACTTCTACTTAAATGGATGGTATCTTCTTAAAAGCTTGCTGATCTAACTTAATCAGTTTTACAATGCTAAATAACACATCATACATGTAGTGCTGTCCTTCCTGAAGGCTCTTGAGTGCAGTGTATAATAAATTGAATTATTTCTCCCATGATTAAAACGTAGTTCTTTCAAGGGTGGAACAGCACAGTGCTGTATCTAAATGGGAGTAAATCGGGTAAAATCTAGCTACAGGAATTGAAGGTGTCAGAATACTGGCTTCACGTGACCACCAGAAGATGATGTCTCCAACAACATGGTGTCCCCCTAGCATCATGTTGTGCATGGAATCTACCATAATTTGGAGCACCATCTAATACTACTTGGTGGCACCCTTAGGAGAAATGGGATATGTCTACATTTTGAGCTGGGGGTGTGAGTCCCAGCTCAAGGAGACATACTTGCGCTAGTTCTCATCAGAATGTAGCTGCTATAGCCTAATTGGTGGGAGGGGCTATCTGCCCTGAGTGCATGCCTGCAAGCTGGGAATCTCACACACACACCCCTCCTGCTTTGAGTGTAGACATACCCTTACTTAGTCTCTATTCAAGTACTGAGCTGGAGCTGGCTTAATTTTTGAGAACTGACATATCTTGTCTTTTTACTGTATGAATTAGCCTTATGCTAGGCCCCATTTGTGTGGGGGTGGGTGGAAGAGGGGTTGGTGAGGTGTTTGTGTGTGGGTTTTTGGTTTTGACTGCATTGTGTTACTCTTTAAATTTTCCTTTTCGGCCTCAGATCCATTCCTAGCTATGGAATTCTGCCTTCTCTGTGTCATAGCAGCTTAGGCCTGCCTTGTGCTGTTGCAAGACATTTCTCTGGTTGCTCCTACTGTTTCCCAATCACGACTTGCATTGTCACTTAGCAATTTCAGTCACCACAGCATTGGAAATTATCCAGTCCGATTTTTTTTTTTTTAGTAGCTGAGAAGAAGGTGGGGAATG